TCGCAATTCTGACTTTTTTTTTCAGAATTGCGTGAAATAAACTCGCAATTCGGACTTTTTTCTCAGAATTGCGTGAAATAAACTCGCAATACAGACTTTTTTTATCAGAATTGCGCGAAATAAACTCGCAATTCTGACTTTTTTCTAAGAGTTGCGTGAAATAAACTCGCAATTCTGACTTTTTTCTCAGAATTGCACGAAATAAACTCGCAATTCGGACTTTTTTTCTCAGAATTGCGTGAAATAAACTCACAATTCGGACTTGAAATAAACTCGCAATTCTGACTTTTTTCTAAGAGTTGCGTGAAATAAACTCGCAATTCTGACTTTTTTCTCAGAATTGCGTGAAATAAACTCACAATTCGGACTTTTTTTCTCAGAATTGCGCGATATAAACTCACAATTCTGACTTTTTTTTTCTCAGAATTGCGTGAAATAAACTCACAATTCGGACTTTTTTTCTCAGAATTGCGCGATATAAACTCACAATTCTGACTTTTTTTTTCTCAGAATTGCGTGAAATAAACTCGCAATTCGGACACTTTTTCTCAGAATTGCGCAATATAAACTCGCAATTTTGAGAACATATCAGTCCTTTTTCCCCCCTCAAATTTGGACTTTAACTCACAATTGCGAGTTTATATCACGCAATTCTGAGAAAAAAAGTCAGAATTATGAGAAAAAAAGTCAGTCGAGTTTTTATCTCGCAATTGTGACTTTATAAATATATAGATGTAAATATATGTAGATATTTAAAAAATATGTACTGTATGTGTGTGCTTTTATATACATAATAAATATACACCGTACACAAACATATATCATGTAAACAAAAACGTTTATTTTGGATGCGATTAATCGTTTTCCACCATTAATATAGAGTATATAGTTATAGCAGTATGTGTTGTCCTGCTTTTAATTTATGATAATTACTGCATTAGAGTAATGAGAATAATTTAGAATAATAGGAATTACAAAGAAATCATTAAAAATAATAAATACACATATTAAAGAAATGAGAATGTGTGTGTGTCATGAAAATGTTACAATGTTAAAAAAAACATAATGCCTGTTTTCTTTAAGCAAAATATAGTTTCCTATTTATTTTTTTTATATTGTGGTGAAATGTGTTTGTAAAGTTCAGCTGCCAAAGTAAAGCTCAACTAATTTGTCTTTTACATAACTCTCTCTGTCATTATCAGTGATTTGAATAGAGTATCATATTTGGACACTGGAAAGCACCTTTCTCTCTCTTCCTCTATCATTAGAGAGGAGCACATTGTGGCCCTGTTAGCTGTCCGCGGAGATGCCAGTCGAGATATGAGACAGATGATCATAGAGACTCTGAACCAGAACAAACCATCCACTTCCTCTGTGTCTCAGCCCGTCTTCAGAGACATCACCGTGCCATCCAACACCATGACCTCTATGAGTGTACCCAAACTGCTGAAATAATCTGACCTTTGACCCCTAGAGCCTTTACTAAGCCCCAGAACAGAGTATCGATTCCCTTAATGCACTTTTGGAAATACATTCGCTGCCATCTCAATGGAAACGTCTCAGTGGATGATGATGTGCACTTGAATGGCAGCAGCTTGTGTTGAGACTGCAGATGATTTATGATTTGATGTACAGAAACATTTTCAGGATATTTCTTTCTAGCCTGCCCTTTGTAAAATGGTTGATGAATTAAAGCAACAGTTCACCCCAAAACAAAAATCGTAATCACTCACCCTCATGCTGTTCCAAACCCATATGATTTTTTTCTGTTGTATAAATGGAGACGATTTAGAGACTGAACAACAAACTGTTATTTTTCCATATAATGAAGCTATAGCGTAGGTAATGGAAAAACAACATAAAAGTGATCCATGCAGCTCATGCACTGTATTTCATGTCTTGTATGTGAAACACAAATGGCATTTATTCTCACGTTACATTTAAATATGGCACTTCAAGATGTAAAATGTGAGTGTTGTCGTTGATGTTTATCCTACGATCAACTGTGGCAAATAGCAACTTATTTTGGTCTGTTAATTGCATAAAAACTAAAATATACTTTCAGCTGACTTGGAATATAGTACACAAATCACGTGGGCTATTTCTGTGCTACTTTTTTTTGTCATTTCTGAATAATGATAATGAGATTTTTAAACTATATATATATATATATAGAGAGAGAGAGAGTGATTTTTATTTTTGGGTGAAGTACCCCTTTAACAAATCATGAGGTTGCATTCAGTTGCTTTTGTGTCATTCATTCTCTTAAACAATGCACAGTCACAATTTCTTTTTCACTATAGTGCTACACATTTATAAGCATCCTGCTGGCTGCTATCTGGAACTATAATGAACCACTGAATTCCATCATGTCAGTTTTCATTTCAATAAAATCTGGCTTAACACCAAGTGATCTGAATGATTTATGATGTTGGCTTAAACTACGGGTCATCTCTGTTTATGCACACATGCCCTAGATCTGCCAGCTCAGGAGACAAAGGCAGCTTGCCTGACGATTTAATTTGTAATAATCGCTCTCATCTCATTGGCTGAACACATGTATATATATGAGACAAGGGGAGGAGCTCTGAGGGATTCTCATGAGTGAGAGAGAAAAGACGTCCACCGTGGAATGACATGCAATTAATGCACTTTTCATGCAGTTTTGTTGATGATACAATGCAATGTTTTGAATGGCTGTGTTTAGGTTGTAGTACTAGCGTACTGCTTACGCTTTTATTTTAAGAATGATGTGAAACATTGTGCAGTATGCAGTGAATGTTTCAAACAGCTGCTTTGCAGTCACGTGACCTCAGTATGTTTAATTTGGACAGTTGCATTAATTTATCTTAAAATACAAACCTTTTTTATATTTTAAAGGGATAGTTCACCTAAAACTGAAAATTGTTCCAAACCTGTATACGTTTTTTTCTGTTGAACATGAAAGATGATACTTTGAAATCAAAAGCAACACCACGAAATGGGTTTTTATATTTATTGCTAATATCTCGACAGAAATGATCAATTTGGCCAAAAAAGCAAATTTGATCAGATTAATTTGACCTCTCAGTACAGATTAATCAACATTTACATACGAAATACAGTAAACGTAAACTCCGAGGCAGAAATCATACCTCGTTCATACAGTACAGCTTCATAAATCTATAAAAAGTGTAATGAATACAGTCGACAGGTTTCAACCTTGAGTAGTTAACTCCCTTTAGAGTCTATTTACAGATTAGTAACGATTTACCAAACCGAACGAAAGCACATTTAAAAACCTGCAACACTGTTGTGGAAAGCAATTTGTCTAGTCCACCGCATGTTACTAACCATAAATGTGCCAAAACACCTGGACAAGCATGAAAGGCCTTGAGCCCTTCATCAAAATCTCTTGAAAATATCAAAATAAAATGTATTTTCTTAATACAAACATGCCAAATCTCCTTATATTTATATGTATATAAAAAAAAGGCTGCTTTGGCAAAATCGCAATAAGATTTCAGAAATACAACTTTGAAATTTTAAATATGTACTTTAACACAAAGAGTTAAGTTGAAATGATTTTCAATACACTTCCAGCTGCTTGCATGGCAATAGGCACAAACGTTCGCCCTCTGGTTCTTTGACAATTCTTAAGAAAACATTTCACACACAAGCAAGATATTATGATGCTCAAAGTGGCCCTTGTGTCAAAATAGCATTTGCATTTCCTCTAACAGTGCTTTAGGTGTAGGATGAGCATGTCAGACTCCACACTTAAAGCACAGAGTGTCCTATATGAACACGCTTGAGCCTGTGAGGGTTGAAGCTACTCTAGTGGTCAGAGCGTGTAAATGAGAGGCAGTACTGCAGATTTGGCTCTTTCAGTGCATTTGAAACACCTGACTCACATTTTTCGGAGAACAACAGTTGTAGTGCATCGCGTTCAGAATGAGAACAGGACAAACCAGCGGTGTATAATGTTGCTAGAGCATCATTATAAACCACTATCAGCAAGAGAACAAGCATATCTTTAATAACAAAACAAACTCAAAATATTCAAAAAAATTTTTAAAGTACTTTTCTTGTCATTTTCTCCTGTAGCATGTATAAAAGCCTATAAAGATTCACCCGTGTCAGAAAAAAAAATACTGCACTAAAGGACTCAAGTTTAATTTTCTCATTAACTTCGCCAGACGCTGCGAATGAGAACATCAGCTCATATAAAATCCTTCTGACAACAATAAACTATTCTGAACCTAAAACAAAAATCATCTTGCAATCCATCCTATTTAAACTATAACATTAATATAATTTAATTTTTAAGAGAACCCATTATGTTTAAGCAACTCATCTTGCAGTCAAGTGTC